ATTTCAGGTTGATCAAGCTGCATATATTTTTATTTCCAGTTGAATGAGGTCACCAGATGGGATCTCAGGTAGCTTTGCTTAAAGGAAATCGCAAGATAGGATTCCAGGTTGACTGAACTACAAATATAGTTTTTGGTTTTGCTTAAAGGAGGTTGCTAGAAGGGATCTCATATTTCAGTTTTGGTTAAAGGAGGTCGCTAGAAGGGATCTCATACTTCAGCTTTGGTTAAAAAGGAATCACCAGATGAGATTCTAGGTTGACTGAGTTGCAAAATAAATTTTTGGTTTTGGTTAAAGGGGATCGCCGGATGGGATTTCAGGTTAGCTCAACCACACACAAGATTTTGGTTCTGGTTAAAGGGGATTGCTAGATAGGATCTCAGGTTAGCCCAACCACACACAGAATAATGGTTCTAGTAAAAGGGGATTACCGGAAGGGATCTCAGGTTAGCCCAACCGCAACACAGATATCAGCTTTGGCTAAGAGAAATCGCCATATAGGATTTCAGGTTGGCCAAACTACAAATATAGATTTTTAGTTAAACTTTTGATCTTAGTTTCGGGTCGAAGCGGAATTGCTGTAAATACAAAGTTTCAGGTCAGTCAAGATCAGTTGCGGTAATTCAGTTTTGTTTATCTTTATAAAATTTACTGTCCAAAATCCCTACTCCGTAAGTATTATAAAGAGGGGGCATCTGTTGTAACCCATTTTTGGGTACCCTATAAATAAATAAAGAAACTAAACAGTGTAATTTTGACACTAACTGAACAATGTCGCTTTGACACTGTTCCTCTTCCTGCATGTACCCCCATTCACTCTTATGATAAGCAACCGAGGGAGCTGCATGCCCGACCAAAAAACTCGACCCCTTATGCTCTCTCATGAGGAGAAACTGAGGGAGTGGCGCCTTGGCAGAGGATAAAGAGCCCCGCTCCCCATGTACAACAGTGAAAGAGCCCCGCTCCATTTGCTCTATAAATAGCACCCAACCCAGCAGAGGATAAAGAGAAAAAAAAGAGGGGAGGAAAGCTTTTGAAAAATTGAATGAGGGAGAGAAGTATAAATGAGAAAAGTTCGAAGAGAGCCACTGTGAGAGGGAGGGAGGAAACAAAAAAAAATACAATGAGACAGTGAGGGGACAACTAAGAGGAGAGACTATCGTGCACAAAGGAGGACGAACAGCTGCTAGGAGGAAACACCCAAGATCGAGAGGAGAAGAACCAAGCAAAAGCTAAGGAGGAAGGAAAACAGAGGCAGTCGCATCTGCAGAAAAGAGAAGAAATACTGTAGAAAATAGTTGCTGACATTTGAGCTTCCAGCCACTGCCACCATCAAAACCACCAGGAGACCTCGTCGATTGCTTCTCCACCACCACCAACATTACTAGGAGTGTCTGCCATCGTCATCAATGTCGCACGTCAAAAAAATCTGTGCGACGTCGACTCCAATGATTTTTCATCGTTATTATTTAATTTGATCTTGTTAGATTCGTTAGAAGTCGCCACCTAGCATTTAATTGAAAGTTACTAGGAAACCCGGTTGTACTGGTCTTGTTAGAGATTCGCGGATAAGAGACCGGTTGTGGCTAGGAAATGTATTAGCACCCCTAACACACCCTACCTGAGGTAAGCTGCTTCATGGACTAGATATATTAAAGAAGTTTTGAAAATTATCTTTTCATCGAATTTTAAAAATACAACTTTCGTACAAGTTTGTACTTCTACACCGTGATCCAACCAAATATTAAATTCTTCTTTACTCTTCATAATTTTATCATAAATAAAAAAAACATTCATAAGAAAAGTACAAGCACAAAGATGCACCTTTTCTTTTCTTTTTCTTCTTTTTGTGTTTTTTTTATTTACAAAATACAAATAAAAAATTCAAACTAAACAAATATTACATTAAACAATTTGAAAATTACAAAATAACCCCTCAAAACTCCATAACAGTGCTGGAAAGTCCTTCTAGACGGTGTGAACAGTGCACATGAATAGTGACAATGAAGAGAAAAAAAACAGTGAATCGGGAACGTTTTCTTCTTCCCTTTCTTCCTTCGCCAACGATGACCTACAAAACAAACAAAAACAACCTAGACAATTGATTTTGATTTTTCATTTGTTTTTAAGATCTGCTTGGGCCTCTTCTTTTCTTTTTCATCTTTTTTTTTTGTTTTTGTTTTAACCACAATGCAAAATATAACTTTAAAACAATTAAACAAAAATTACATTACAATAACAACCCTAAAATAATATGAAATTACAAGGACTACAAGCCGAATAATGTTAAGGAAGGTTTCTAGGAGTAGGAACAGGGGCGGCGCGTCTTCCCCCGCGCTACCCTAGGAGTAGGAACAGGGGTCGGCGCGTCTTCCCACGCGCTACCGCCACTGGTGGTGCGTGGGTTCACGCGCCGCCGCAGAAAAGTCCTAGAAACAGAGGGGATCTGTATCAACCTCTTCTTCTCAGCCTCCCTACACCAGCGGTGACCTGCAGAAAACCTAAAAGAAAGGAAAAAAAAACGCATCAAGCAGTGGATTTTAATTTCTTTCTTTCTTGTTCACGGATCTGTTTATTTCTCTTCTTCTCTGTTTGGATCTGCTTTTGTCTCCACAGATCTACTTTTCTTCGGGTTTCTCCTTCTCTATTTCAGGCAGCCGGATGGGTGGATGTGTTTCAATCAACGGTTGTGCAGCCCCTGGAGTCTGGTTTGACGGAGATGGAGGAGAACGAAGTGGTTTGATTGTCGGCTTTAGTCGGCTTTGTTGCTACTGCCTACAACTGCTGGAGCTACTACGAAGATGGGAGGTTGCTGGCAGTGTTGAGGTGGAGGAATGGACAAATCGGTGGGTCTCGGTGTGGTGGACGGTCGCTGTAGGTGTGCTGCTGGAGAAGGGCCGATCGATCTGAGTCTGTGAACGTTGGAGGAACAACTGGAGGAGGGGGGCTTGTCCGGTGTGGGGAGATGACAGTGGACAAGAGAGACCAATCATGGCTTTCCTCTTTTGTGAAGGCCGGGGGTCGCCGGCCGAGAGAAGGAAATGAGAGGGGGGCTGAGAGAGGGAAGATCAGTTACAAGAAAGGAAGAAGAAGATGGGGCTACGATGTGGAAGAGAAAAAAAAAAATCAAGGAAGGGGGCGGCCGATTCTTCAAGGGAGAAGAAAAGGCTTAGTTTTTGTTTTTGAGGGTTTCCTTTTTTTTTTGGTCAAGATCCCTCCCCCCGTCTCTTAGGGTTTGTTTTTTTTTGGTCAAGATTGCCCCCCCATTTCTTTGTGTCAAATGTTGGATTTCAAAATTGATCCCTCAATTTTATTTTTTTGTAAATTTTAATTTTTTTTATTTTTTTGTATTTTTTTTAAAAACAAGCAATATCAACATCAACTCAATAAGAAAAATCAATGATTTTAAAAATAACACGTTAAAAATTGAACACGTTCCAAATATCTTTGAAAATTTAAATTCTTGTGAGATGATGTTGAAAATGCTAAAAATGATACAAATATATTTAAAAATGTATTTTTTGGATTTTTATTTTTTTCTCTATTTTTTAGATTTTTTTTAAAAAAGTTATCAAAATATGGATCAAAATTGGGGAATAATCCAAAATTGGGTTATGACAATCAATATAGATTCTGCCACCAGGTTTGTCCAGCCCCTCTCGTTGTTGTGTCTGCATCATTTCCTCGCATTTTACTGTTCAAGTGAAACTTAATTCACCTGAATAGTGAAATGTTGTTGTTACTATTCACGTGAATAGTGAAAGTTGCAAAAAATAAAAAAAATAAAAATTCTTCAAAAATTATTTCAAAGAACCTGTGATTTTTCACAAGTTTTGTTATTGCATTTTGAGCAATATTGATTTGTATTTTTATATTGTAAAGATACAAATTCGGTATTAAAATACCCGGTTTTCATTAAGTCATAAAAAAAAATATAAAAATAAAAATAAAAATGTTTTGTTTTCATGCATAGAACCTAGTCTCTCCAATATATCTTATCATATTTTCATAGAACAAAGAAAATTTCAAAAAAATATATGTATTAGCATGCATTTTGGCTTTAATAACCAATTTATTCAAGTCATGAGAACTAGGCCAATATTTCAAAAATTCCAAAAAAATTATTTTGTTTTCTTTTAATATCTAGGGTTACGATCTTATATGTAAGACATATTCTGGAAATTAAATTCTTGTGTTTAGGTCAGAGTTACCCGATAAGATAAGGATCTCCTCACCGAGGAGGACTTTTCTTAAAGCATACCAATAACTAGGAAATATGAAAAAACCTTAGATTTTATCAGACAATAAAACAATCAAGCTTACCTTCGGTAGGGCGTATTTGGGGTGCTAATATCTTCCCTTTACGCAACCAGTCCCCGTACCCATTCTCTTAGACTAGTTAGGGTTCTAGTGATCAAAATACTAGGTGTGACTCCCAATCCATTTTCCACCAATAATAGACTAGATTTTCTTGTCCCCATATATTTGCCATTAGATATTAATCATTTCTAGATAAAAAGGAAAACTCATCGCGATGCCGCACACGTGCGTCAGAATGGCAACTCCACTAGGGACCTTGTGGATTAAGCTTTGTTTTTGTCTGATTTATTTTTGTTTTTGAGTGTTTATTCTTGATATGCCTTTCCTTTTGCTATCTGCTTATATGCTTTAAATATTTTACAAATATTGTTCATGCATTGTATAAAACTATCTCATGCATCACATACTTTGATTTTGAGAAGCACACACAAGCTTTAAGCTGGGTGGGGGATTAACGATTTGCCCTATGACTATTAGTTAGGGTTCAGATGTGTGAAACACCCAACTCATATCTGAGTGCCTGCTTGGTAATGGTGGGTATACGTGCCTTAACTGTTCCTTGCAACGCCCCCATATTGTTTTTACGAAGAGCGTCACTAGGCGAATATGAGACCCCTTCAAGACCAGATAGAAAACCTACCCAGTCTCATTTAATAAATAGAGCTTCTCCTTAGGATATTATCTTACTTTCATTTGCATCATGATTAAAAATTCATCAATCTCGATTTTAAACAAAAATCATGGCTAAATACCTATCTTTCCAAGAGTTTGGGCAAGAATCTGAGTTGACTCAGGGAGCTAAAGGAGAATGTCCAAAAATCAATGCTAGTGGGTTGCCTTGCATTACCAAGATAAATCACATGGTAAATGACTTAGGAAAGTTATTATTTGTTATGGAATATGTTGATTAGACTCTTTTTGAAAGGCAATATAGGAGAATTGCACAACTAATGAGGTTATTCATACAAGTAGCAGCAATTAAAGCCTTACTTAATTTTTAGGATCCTAGTTATCGGTGTTTTACCTTCGGGAACATTGATGACACCGACCTCGGAGGAATACAATAGGATTCTAGATTTTCCAAACAACAGCCACAAGATCTACCTTAGGTGAAAAATTAAAGACACAACTTTGGAACAAGATCTACCTTAGGTGAAAATTTGAAGACATAACTTTGGAGCAATTCTAAAAGCTAAGAACGGGGAGGGAACATCAGCACAACAGCCTGAAGAAGCACCAGCAGCTCACATCCTTCAAGCATCTCAAAACCAGGGGGCAAACTTGGCCAGTGAACAACATTTTATGCCTATCAACCTTATCTAGCCAAATCATGCTCCAATCACTATGGACTTAACAGCGGAGGGAATCCCAGACAATAGGTCTCCTAGTTTGATGGACCAAAACAAGTTGTTCGCTTTGGAAGAAAGATTGAGGGCAGTTGTTGCGATGTCGCGGTCGCACAAATGAATTACCCTTACACTTAAATCACACAAGATAGTATAGAGCAAGCAAGGGATCGATCCCACGAGGAAGATTTAGTTCAGATTTTTATGCTATACGTTATACAATTGGGGGGTTTTGATTTGTGATAATCTAAAATATGGAAGAAATTAAACTAGTGAACACGATCAATTAAAACTGAAATTTATCAAGAAAACAAACCTTGGTCACAAGCACACATCCACCTACAGAAATCAGAACTGATCCTTAAAACGAAACTCTAGTTTATATTCTGAATTTTTATCTTTTCTTAACTTTAACGGATTCGCCGTATAACTAGCCCTAACCAACAAATAATCACAGTGTTCGCACTAATGATTTAATCTAGTGGTAGCCTTAAGATCTAGATAAATTCATTAATCTTAACAACCATGTTGTCTGCTTGTGTTGCTTTGATCGAATGTTTTCCCTAAGTTTAATAACGTAGTTCCGCCATAATTATCAAGCTTAGTTGCTTCACAAGTTTATATACCCTAACTCCGGTTTTGATATCAAACTTAGCAATAGATTGTTCACAATAATAACTTAGAGTCCGCTCTAGCAATTATCAACAACAATCATAGAAAACGTGCATAGGAAAACAATCATACTCATTCATAATACAAACTGAAAATAAATGAAGAATAAATCTCACAGTTCTTGAAATCTGAAAGTTTCTGCGTAATTGCAACCAAGAAAAGAGCTTAGCCTTGCATAACTATTGAACAACTACTCCTAAAGATAAAAGAAAGCATTATTTCTAGTATGTAGAGAGGAGAGTTTGTGTTTCTTCACTTCTAATTGCTACCACCTTTCTTTGATTCTATTGCACTCCCTCCTCTCCTTTCTTGGCTCTCTTGGTGTCTATATATAGCTTCAATGGCAGCTCCTCTTGCTTCTTTATCAATAATGGTGGCTGCCAAACATGGCAAACTTTGACATTAATAGTCACCACAAACAACCCACCATTGTAGCCTCCTTCTTTGACAATGGCAGCATTCCAACTTGCAGCTGGTTTGTGGTTGGTGATTTGAGGTTGGTGGATTGAGGTTGGTGGCTACTTTTCTTGACCTTCTAGATTGATTGGTGGATTGAGGTTGGTGGTTACTTTTCTTGACCTTCTAGATTGATTTACTAGAGGGGCTAAATTGCTGAAATTATAACTTGGTTGATAGTTTAGAAGCTTCGAAACATAATTTGGACTCATTTCTTCACAAAACCTGATTGCTGGCAGAATTCAGTTGTCCTCTTTGAAAACTCATATCACCCTCATGTGACATCGTGTTTGGCTGACAATTTGAGCGTTTCTAGACCTTTGAGTTAGGAATCCAAAAAAATTGAGTTTGCATCAATTGGACTTCTATAACTCCAAATATGGAATTTTGAATGGACAAAGGTCAACAGTGGCAGAATACCAGATTTGACTTTGAAGGATGTGATTTCCATGATCTTCCTCTTCTTATTTTTCTTGCATTAAATTTCCAGAAAGGTATGGATGTTAGCTTTTTAGAGCCACTAGAATCACTTCATTTTGATCTCTAGAACTCACGCTTTGCACAAAACATCGACTAAACGTCAAATCTGCCAATTATCTCCAATTTACTCCTTTTTGCATTTTTCATCCAAAAGTGCCTTCAAAACATAAAACAAAGAATATCAAGGCATTTTACATATAAAACATGGACAAAACATTAGGTAAATGTGGGTGAAACTATCGAATAATATGGTTACATCAAATACCCCCACACTTAGCTCTTGCTCGTCCTCGAGAAAGGATAAATAAAATTAAATTGAAAATAAAATGATTGGTTTGATCCAATACTAGTAGCTGAAATATATCTTGTACCAAACGTCGTTGTGCCAAAGGATTTTAGGATACTAGAGTTCATTAAGTACACCGGTTTGGAATGCCCAAACACTCATATTCAATCCTACTACAACAAAATGATGGAAGTAATCCATGATGATAAATTGCTAATCTATTTCTTTCAAGATAGCTTAGCAGGATTCGCTTTGAGCTGGTACATTAGGTTAGACAACATTAGGATCGGGAGTTGGAGAGATTTGGTGGAGGCTTGCCTTAAGTAGTACAAATTTAATATGGAAATCACTCATGATCAAACAAGTTTAATGTTAATGGAGAAGAGGAGCCAAGAGTCGGTAAGGGCCTATGCACAAAAATAGAGGAATGAGGCAACACATGTCCAAACCCCTTTAATAGAAACAGAGATGGTGACCTTGTTTGCCAATACCTTTAAGGCACCTTATTATGAGCATTTAATAGGTAGCTCATCTCAGCATTTCTATAATGTGGTATGCATAGCTGAAAGGATAGAGCAAGGGATTAAAGCTGCGTGTATAGCTGAGCAGTTGGAGAAGAAGGGTTTTATTGGAAGAAAGAGGGAAGGTGAAGTTAACAACTTGG